GCATCTACGCCGCCGGCGCAGACCTGCACGGTGCTGCCCGTGCTGCCGCTGAACCGGCCGCAGCCGCCGGCGCTTGCGTCACCGTCACCGTCATCCTCATCCTCATCCTCGAAGGGCGCCCGCTTGCCCGCAGCCGCTGATTGCTGCTTTGCCTTTCCAGTGGCATTTACGTTTTTGCGACGCTGGCACAAACACCCCATTCACACAAAGAAATCGCATAAGCCGCTGAAGGCCTGACGGGCAGGTACCCCCAGCTCTCAAGCAAGGACCTTGGGCATCTGCACACAAGTGAAATGATTGTGTGTAAATAATGTTTACCGTCTCACTATAGTAAGGTTTGGTCTGAGTGCTCACACCAGTGTTTGCTACAAAACGGTTACTGTGTAGCAGTTGTGTATGTTAACACTTAACGCCATTTAGTGTTTTTGTAAGCCTAGGTATAAACAAGGTTTTCCCTTACCATTTGTTCAGTCTTGTGGCATCTGTAGTTTATTTGCTGGGATTTTACTCATGGGCTTTGATTACAGCAAAAATCTGCATATTGACAATCTCTCTAATAGCAGAGTCAAAACTGAAGGAAGTAAAAATGCAGTTGTCTCCATTGCATAAAATACATAGTCAACCATTTGCAGTAACACCTTAATTGTAAAAAACTCTGCAGCCCCAAATCTGTCTGTAAACTATAATCCTCTCTTTTAAAGATAAAATGTGACAAAGGTGGTCATGGTGGTTTGTTCTGTAACTTGCGCAGGCTTTCAACATGCTGTCATGGTAAAACCTGCTTCAGAAACCTGGCCTGGTGTGCATCGGTGGATGTTAGGAGAAAACTTTGGTCTGTCTGTGTTCTGGCACACATCAAACTGTACCTCTGTTTGCAGGGTGAGTAAACCAAGCACACCTTACGCTGGGCTGCAGCTTCATGTGTGGGCCTGAGATCGATTAGTTGCAGCCTTTCGTGGGAGGGCCAAAAAGACAAATGGATTTTGTCAGCACCGTGGGATTGTGCTGCCTTTGTAATTCTACAGGTAAGCTGCCGTGACGTAAAGGCAGCTTATATCTGATGCGTCTTATGTTTGATGCACCTTTTATCGGTGTGGATGCCAATGCCAACTCAGACAGCAAGGCAGGCTTTAGCCAGTCTCACCTGGTCTCCTCAGGTACAGAGGTGCACTAAAAGAATCGCAAGGAGAAATGTGAATGCATTTCTCAGGCAGAGTGTGTTTCTCTGTTCAGAAAGGCAGTGGCGTAGCACTCTTCAAAATGCAGTTGAGAAAAGCACTCCAGAAAATTTTTGTCATTCAGGCAGATGCTTTAATTGGCTCAACCATCAACGGAACTGGTCCCAGCTATTAAACTCAAAGGACGAAGTATCTTATAGCTACAGCACAAAAGAAAAAAAAGCAGGCAGTCGTCCAGCTGTGTCACAGAGCTTTTTACCTGACTCTCAGTTATTCCCGTATTTAAAAACAGCAGTTCAGCTCTATGGAGCAGTGTAAGACAATCAGTTAAGGCTCCTGGTGGGTAAGCATTGGAACGATGCCGATAAAATGAGTACCTGGGGATAGACGCTATAGCAAATTAGTTTTGTACTAATGCTCCCTTCTGTGATGACATAAGGAAACCTTGCTTGAGTGAAGTATGGTTTAATCTATTACACTTCTGTAAACAGAGAATTAAATTGTAAATCACAGTTCAAGTGATAGAGATTCATGAGGAGGTTTTAGGAGGACTTTAATCGCCTTCATCAATCCTCTGCTGTTGGTGAAAATATCTACTACTATAATTTGCTTCAGTTAGCCCTCATTCATTCTACATGTTAGGATAAGGACACTTTAATATATTAGCCTCAAATGGAGCAAAAAATCCACAACTCTGAAAAATGACTGGTAGATGATTATAGTTTTTTAATACACAAAGGAAGACCAACAATACAATGAGTGGGGTTATATTTTTAAACTAAAAAGGTCATGGGTATTCAGGTATCTCCTCAAAATTCTTTTAGGTCAGCATCACTACTGAAAGGTTACTTGTCCCCTCAAAATCTGATATTGTTGATATTCCGCTTCCGTCTTCCTTATATAGTGTTCTCTTAGTATAAGGTTATGTTTTGTTGTCTACTGGCTGTGGTACTTTCCTTTACAGATGATAATGCTGAGGATTTTTTTTCCAAAAGAGAATCTTCATTTAGTTGTCAGTCCTAATACTTACAGGCGCTTTCTTATTTACATAGCTACAATTGAATAATAGTTTCAGTGGGTGTTGGAGTAACTAGTTGCAGAAGGGGCTCTCAGATCTCCTTATGGAAAGGAATAGTATTTCTATAGTACACTCCACAAAGGTCTATGAAATATATAACACAATATAAATAATGCTTACCTCCCAATGTTGTTTATTAGGACATAGCATCTTAAAACATACCCATGTTTGATTTTGCTAAGGCCAGTCCCTGATGAATAATTAACATCAAAATACTAAAACTTGACACAGCAGCTAGTCAAAATTCAAAACGTTTTTCACTGACATTACAGCTGCTGCAGCAATGTTTCACGAAGTTGCCTTTTTCAGGTATGCAGTAAGATCAGCGCTTTCATTCTGCTTTTTAATTCCAGCAAAAATAATTTTTGTACCAGGGATGTATTTCTTAGGGTTTTCCAAATACTCCGTCAGTGAATTCTCGCTCCAGACAACTCCTGAAAAACAAAAAACATAGTAAAATACAAGGTGGCCCAGCATCATGTATTTATGAAGATATCAACAGTCTCAAATCAAAGGTGTGATGCTCCTGAACATAATGTGCCCAGAATCCAAAAGGAATGTGAGCATGAATGATAGAAAATGCACAAGGTATACATTGTTTTTGTGTCACTTCAGTAAGTCAAATATAAATCCTTTTTGCATCATGGAGAGTTGCAGTTCTTTGCACCATTTCACATACAACTGCTTACTACTTTTGAACTATGTAAATATCTTTGTAATTCCAGTGTTCAGAAGATCCAAATTTAATTTCCTATGATTGTTGAAAATTAGCATCTACAAATTGACGTGAAATTCATCAAGGCTGTACTCTGCTGAAGGGCATTAGAAAAAGGCTTGTCAACGGCCAGTTCCTGGAATTTCTTGACAGAAGTTGAAAAACCATTGGCATTTCTTTCCAACCCTGCTAAAACCCGTCTCTATCAACAGAAGCCTACTGTTGTACTGAAGACTACTGAAATGCCTATAGTGATGTGTTCAAGTTTCTCTTCTGTCCTCCAGAGGTGACTCTTCCCATTGTCTGAAGTGCATTTAGATATTACTTTGTTGGCTTTCTTTTAAAAACTTGTACTAAATTCTGTATGATTGTTCACTAAGTTTTTAATGGGAAAAAATAGTTAATCTATGGTGACGATATTTTGTTTGAAGGCAGTCCCAGTCTAAAGTGAATGTCACAAAACATTTCCTAGAAAGCACAGAAAAATAAAAAAGTCAGCCAATTCTAGAACACCTTAGTAACCAGGAAAAAAACAGGGCTGTATTTGTAATTAATAGCTTGATTAAAATAATATAATTTAAATTCAAATAATATAAATAAAACCAGTGAAACCCACACAGAATTACTTTCCATTTTTAGGTGTTCCACTGCTTTTGAAGACTGTCTGTATGAAAAATACAAGACAAGTCATAGCTTACTCCTAGGTGACCGTATTTAGTCAAGTGTTCCGAGCAAAACAAGTGCAGCACACTACGGTGCCAGCGGAGGGCAGTGACCAGCAAACAAAATCTGAAAGCACTCTTGGGAAACAGAGAGGAAAATCTGCCCATTGATACTGTGAAGTTCTGGGAAAGCTGTATACCTTCTGACCTGGTGTGCTGAATATTGGTAAAATTTCTTTTTAATATAGGGACCGAGGATTTTTGTTTATGAAACTATACTTCAGATTCATCTGCAGTAATGTGAAGTAGACAGTTGTGAGAGAAACTCCTTGTGAATAAGGCTTTCTATTGTACCTCTAAAGAGAGGGTTTTTTTTTCATATATGTGCTTTCTAAAACTGAACCTCCTCCATATCACCTATTAGTTTTACCTTTGTTCTTGTTTGCATCTGAGTAAGAAAATCCTGCAGCTTGTCCTGTTCTGTGGCCAAAAGAACACCAAAGATTTTGTCCTGTCTTGTGCTTTCCAACTTTTTCAACTGTGTGGCACTGAGGACATTTCTGAGTAAAGATCTTCTTGCCTTTTTCAACATAACCCATTTTGATCTATGTAAAAAACCTAAAAAAAAAAAAAAAGGAAATTTGAACGATATTACAGAAGGGTTCACTGTTGTTGGTCACATTTATCATCTCCTCTACAGTTTTATAAAATATTTCTGTCTTGCACAGTAATAAAAATAATTTGTCTCCAAGTAATGAAAATTTCACCCCGACTTAGTTGTAAAGATTATGTTCCTCTAAAAATACTCATTGACCTTCTACATTACACTCCCAAAACAGGAGACCATTTAACCCCCACAAAAATGCTGCTTCCAAGGCCACTGCCAGGATTGCACAGCGCTCGAAATACTGCCTCCTCCAGACCTTCAGATGGCCAGACCTTGCCTCCACGAAACTTTGCTGATACGAACTTGACAACTACATCTGTGTGTGTGAAAGAGAGGGGGGATCTCTGCATATTTACTTTGCTTGGGAAAAATAATAGAAAGAATGTGTGCACCTTGATCCCCTGATTTTTTCATTTAACCCCATTTTGCACCTGGAGGTGTTTGGTCATTATGATCCCAGTAAGAACAGCACTTAAGCTGTATAAAGTAGTATTTACAATGCTATTTATTTACAATGCTAATACTGTAAAAAGAGGATAGGATAATCTCACGTCCCATTAGATGATGGGAGGCCCAGGTGGTGTAGCATCAAGCAAGCCTCCAGCCTATGCACAGCATGCTATGCAAACCACCTCCATAGTAGAGATTCTCCCCTTTTGGTCTTTCAGGCTTTATAGGATTTTCTTACATGGAAACAACTCTATCATTTCTACAGTCAAAACAGAAGTGATGCTGTCATGAGACCTTCTTGCTGTGCTGTTAGATAAAGGCAAGGCCAGGCAGGAGGTGTAGTCGCCGTTACCAAGCGGGGGCTGCCCGTGGGCTCCTCTGTATCGACAAGCTGGCCGAGTTCGTCCCCCAGCCGAGGGGTGTGGGCAGCACGCCACGGCCTCAAGGCCCGGCTGTACCTGCAGCACAGCCCAGCGCACCCCCAGCCTGCGCCTGCCCAGGGTAACCATACTGTGGGTCACTGACCCCTCCGTGTGCAGTGGTCGGGGTCACTACAACCCTACGGCACTGACAGGTCCTGTATTTACAGCTCCTGTATTCCTGAAACACAGGAGGTTCCATCTGAAGATCAGGCAACACTGTTTAACAGTGAGGGTGACTGAGCACTGGCACACGTTGCCCAGAGATGTGATCTCCCTCCTTGGAGACATTTAAAAGCCGGCTGGACATAGCCCGGGGCAGCCGGCTGTAGGTGGCCCTGCCCGAGCAGGGGGTTGGCCCCGCCGACCTCCGGAGGTTCCTCCCCTTCGGTGGCTCTGTGACACCGCCCGCGGCCGGGCGCTGCCAGGGGCGAGGCGGGGGAGCTCGGGAGCGGCTCTTCTGGGCACCGGCCCTGGA